ACACTCTCAAGGACTCGAGCATTCTCAAGGATACGAACATTCTCAAGGACTCGAGCATTCTCAAGGATACGCACATTCTCAAGGACTCGAGCACTTTCAAGGACACGAGCATTTTCTCTGACTCTCTAACTTCCTCATAAAGGCTGTAAGGAACGTGTCTCACAAGGTGCCGTAACGGGCATTCTCAAAAGTATTCTAGTAATACGCTAAACTCTAATACAGGTTAGTTTCTCTTTCTCTCTCTCTCTCTCTCTCAAGATCGGCTTGTGCACAGGCAAACCTTCAGAATATGGTCTGAAGGGAGGATCTTGAGAGATATTCTATAATCTTCAGTACACGGTCTGAAGAAAGGCACTGTGGTCTTATTCTCTTATATATGTTGAGTCTCTATGGGTGATCTCACTACCACAGTGTGTTCCAAGAAATGGAATCTCTCATCTAGAGTTGTAGTCTCACCCTCACAGTCACTCTCTAGACTACAAAACTATTTATAAAGGTACATTCTCTACTCAATATAAAGGTACATTCTCTACTCATTATAAAGGTACATTCTCTACTCAATATAAAGGTACATTCTCTACTCAATATAAAGGTACATTCTCTACTCAATATACAGGTGCATTCTCTACTCAATATGAAAGGTACATTCTCTATTCAACGTGCTATTGCTAAGTTGAGCTAACTTTCTAAAAGCAATTAAGCTAACCTCAACAATAAGTATATCATTCTTGTAATGATTGTCATAACATGGTGATTTCAATTATACGCAGTTGAGACAATATACAATTACTTCCAGTTAGAGATAACTATTTGCCTTTAACATATCTTATAACTATATTAAACTCAAGTATTTACTCACAATGCAGAGTCCTCTCAAGCATATTCTCATTACAACGTATTAAACTATGTCAGTATAGAGATAAATGCTTACTTTTTATATTGTTCATTCAAATCTAACTGTTTTTATCTCAGACATTCTAATCTGATGTACTTCAAACTTATGTATCATCAAAACAAAGAAGGGCTTCATGTCTTTGGCTGTTGCTGTGATATGTGGAACATCAAGTTTTTACATTGTTATTGGAGATAGAATATACCTCCTTATAATTAAACTTGTTTTATAACTTTAATAAATATTTATAGATTTTATTTTCAGATTGATTTTCTCTAATTTAAGATAAACGCCTTTCAGATAAACCATTATCTAAACAATAACAAATAGAATATTTTTGCGAGATTATATCGAATATGGTGCCACAAATTACGGAAAAAATATATGAAAATAAGATTAGTCTTTCTGATTCGTCAAACAAAATTTCTTTAAACCCTCTGAAATTTTTCATCACACAGAATTTTTAGGCATTAATTCGATGAAAAATCTAGTCAAAACAACCTTAAAGTCTTTTTGTATGTAAGATGTGCAATAATTTTCAGTGCTTATCAAATTATGTACGTTCTAAGAAAAGCAATTTTTTACGAATCTGTTATTGCAGATTAATGAATAAATGAAAGAGAGAAACGTGTAATGATACTTGTCTATAGCACTAATCGTCGGCAAAGTTTTAAAGTCATTCGACACGCTACATTTCAAGAACCTGAATTGAAGCGGCAACGGTGTGGATAATCAAAGATTTGCGTGTAAAATACCAACAGTTCATCAGATCCATGCACTACGGCACGCATGTTCATGAATTCAAGAAGAGTATGCCTGGATTGCATCGCGTGCGATAGCACATGCTACTATGCGAATATCAATACGACTACGCGATGTATGTGTGCGCATGTGTAACGTTTTCATTAAAACTTGCTATCGTTATTAGTAACTATGCTGTAAACAGTACGTAACATATTGCCACAAACAGAAACTACCATAGAAGAAAATAAAAGAAAAAGAGTAACAGATAAGTAAATACAAAGAGAAAGATAAAAATGAAAAAGGCAGAGACAGAAAAAAGCGAAAATAAGCGAAACTATGCCATCCAAGATGATATATGTATGCACACATATATATCTTGTTTTTTGAGAGTATAGTAAAGATGTGAATGAAATATTCAAACGTAAAATTAGACAATGCTATGACATGTTTTTCAAAGATATTTTCAAAATTATTAATAGACATACATTGTAATGCATATCAAATTTGTAAACATTTTATCCGTTCAAATTACTTAATTTTATCAATATAATCTAAGATCTGATGTACATAATAATGTATATATTGGAAAAATTTTTTAGTCAGAATTTTGAAGGAAATCGATTGTTTAGTATAAATTACTTATTAAAATGCACATGAATTGAATTTAAAAAAAAATTTTTTTACACGATTTCAATAAAATCAGGTCTGAAGGGGTTAATAATTTATGATTTAGACTTAATAGTGTTATTTAAGTTAAGCATTTGCTTTTTGATAAATTCTCTTGATAAGAATTGTGTCTTAAGTAGTGTTATCAAGATAAATGAGTCAATCAGCCATACTTGACAAATCAGAAATAATAGCATAACACGTATAATAGTCAATAATATTGTATTCAAAGTTAATGACTTTATAAACAAGAGGAATATGTTGACATATAGATAAATCGCACACAAATTTCATTTCCTTCGTAAAAAGGTGTTTAGATTCAGATAAAATATATACAACATATGTGCATGTATATATATATATGTTATATGGTATACATCTTTACCAATTTTATATATCATTTTACATTAATATTTCCAGATACTACAACTGTAGAAATAATATTAAATTAGGTACGTTTGATAAAACATAAAATCATTATCATTAATCTATTTAATTACATTACATAAATGATGTGATAGCCAAATTGTAAGTTTGGTAGAAAATCTAAGGTGTAATCTGGAGTTGACAAGAAGTATTTAGTCCCAAAGTATAATCGACGCGAAAATGTATCGCTTACGAACTTCCCACGGTACTTCCTATCGCAACGTGCATCATAAATGTCAATTAGCGGCACAATACCTCGCAAACGTGAGAACAACGCCAATTTACCCGCTTTCATGCTCCACACGTCATTATCTCCACGTTTCTGCGTTAGAACGTTTTCAGATTCTCCTAATTATAAAGTATCTACCAAATATTTAACGAATATATGACTATTATTTCGTGAAAAGAATTTATCTTACTAACGTAATAATATTTCAATCATAATAGCAATTAGGAAAACTTTAAAAATGTTTTGTGTATTTAACGATGATACTAGAAAGAAGTTTTGCTTCTGTAATTCTCGAAAAATAAAAAAAATACGAACGATAAATAGGTAAAAAAAAATTTTTTATTCTTCCATGACACACGATGCAAAACCGCTAACAATCGCTTCTCTCTATTTTATGGCTAATACCACTCAGCTTTCACATCACATCATATTTCTGCCGCATATCTGTTCTCATATCGATGACAATTTAACAGAATTATTACCAATGAATGATCTATTATATGTATATACACCAAGAAATATTATTATTATTTCAAACATACATTATTTCATATCATGACATTTAAGTTATTAAAATAATAAATTCAATTTTATAGCATTGAATTTATAAATATTAAAAATTATCAATCAAATTGTAATATAATTTTGTTGTCGACAAATTTATATTGTATGTAATATATTTATGATATTAATATATTTTGTATATGAACTATGAAGGATTTCATTAATTTTTCTTTCAAATATTACTATTTCAGGTTATTGATATAACTTTACAGAACACTGCTTAGTGCTTACTATATGAATAGTGCAATCCATGTATTTACATCACGTAGATGATGCAGATCGAGTTTCTGCACGATGAATAGAACTGCAATGCCGCAAATCTTAGACGCAACACATACTCACATATACAAATATTCTCCTCATCTTCATTTCCGTCTATTCAAACACTATTCCGTTGGATTTTGCCAACGATAATAATTATATTTATTTGAACTATTTTATAAATATTATATATACATATATATATTATGTATATTTATTTGATGTTTTCGATTTTTGCTATAGCTTTTTATAATTATCAGAGATTGAATTATACCGCGCTGTTACACAATGGTTTAGAAGCAATTATTAATTTATTTCTCTTAAATATATAATTTTTAATATATTAAAAAATTTTATTAGAAAATTTTGCTAAAAAAAAAACAAATTATTTATCTAATAATTGATCAATAACTGTTCCAAACGAGGAAGTTATATCACGAATGCCTCTGTGCAAAGAACGTCTATTTACAAAATTTCATTTATAGTTACAAATTTGACTAAAAAACATTTAAAAATTATTCTCGTATTGCTCAATTACTGTATTTTATTTTTAGGTTATTTAATAGCTACAAAAAGATTTGTATTTTTGTTCATGACAAGTAAATAATTTATAAAAACATTTGAATATTTTGGAAACATCTAAGAACATTTTTATATGTTATTTTTATTACAAATACATATAATAATTTGCAATGTAAAATTATTATAAAAATGTTTCTTATCTTTGATAAATCCACCTAAAATGTGTGAAGAAAGTTACAAGTTTACAAGCTCTTATTGTATTAACTTGTACCACCGAATCGACGCCAAATGTAAGTCGATATTGCATGTTATTATAACCAGAAATTTTTAAATATATATATAATATATACATATTATAAAATACATGCTTAAAGTTTTTACAGCCATTTATATAAGACTATAAAAAACTAATATACATGTACATACATACAGATATGAAAATATACCGCAGTAATATTTTATTTCATAATTCATAATGCCTGGCCATATATATGCCATATGGCTATAATGAGAACGAAAGGGTTAATGAACGTATATTCATTATAAGAATCGATTATATGAGAAGATGACGGATACGTGTATATGCATGTGTGTATGTGCGATATGCTATATTATATACTACCGTAATCTTTTCATTCACAAATAAACGATCAACGCGTTATTAATCCGAACATTTTGCTCGTTTTGTTTCAGAACTCCGAAATATCGCTGTTTGAGACGAATATTCGTTTCATGGGGAGCCTGCTTGCCTGTTATGCTCTCACGGGAGATGTGATGTTCCGGGATAAGGCGGCGCAGCTTGGTGAACGGATGCTGCCTGCCTTCCAGACGGAAACCGGAATTCCTCATTCCCTCATCAACCTTCATACCGGGGTAAGTGCGGCTTTTCGTTGCCATAACTCGCTAGTGCTCGCATCAACATGGGTTCGATGTACTTTGATATTACATTAATTTCGTTTCCCGCACCAAAAAAAGAACTTACTCATTTACTGCACTGAGATAAAAGAGTAAAACAAGAAATCACGAATACGAAATGTCGTAAATTTATACAGGTTGCATCAAAATCAGGTATACATTTTAATAAAACTAAAATCACGTCTAGGAGTCAAAACCCGAAAGAAAAACTTCTTGAGATAGCTTCTTTATTGCCAAGATGTTTAATATTGCAAGTTGAAAATTAAAAGTTACGACAGGAAATAAATGATTAAACTTCCAGTAAAGAAAGATTCACAAGTTATGTATAAAGAGATCATCTAAACATACGTATACAAATAACGTAAAAAAGAATGAGATTATTTTAGAGATCTTTCCACATTAATTGCTGATTGCTGCAGATATATTAATTTAAGTTTTTGTGAAAACTAGTGTTCGTCAACATCAAGAAATTCAAGAAATCTTATCTTGATTTTGTCTTGAATTAAGACAAGACCAAGACAAGAAATTGGAAATTGATTTCAAGACAAGACAAGAAATTGTTATCAAGACCAAGAAATCAAGAAATTTTTTGAATTTTAGTGACAGTTATTTTTAATATTTTATTATTTTAATGTTTTAATATTTTATTTCTGATTCGAAAAGTTTTGCATAAGTTAGGTTTCAACATTTCCAATTGTATTTATTAGTATTTAACAGATTATATAATATAGAAATGTATATTTATACATTTTCATTAAATAGCAAAATAGCACATGAACAGAGTGCAAATCGATTATTGAAAAAGTAAAGTCCCTGATCTAACCAAATTAAATCATACTCACCGATACGTCTTTATTGTACTAGATATTAACCTTTATATTTATGTAAAGGAATATATATACAGTGATGGGAGAAAGTTCGGCAACGGTCAAATATCTTGGAAAATAATGCTTATGGAAAAAAATGTTCAATACAAAAGTTTTAGTATATCAAGTGGTCTATTATATGGTTATGTTGAAATGACCTTCATGTGACCTTGAAGGACACCGTGAAGGT